GTTCACAGGCACTCAACTCATTCAGGCCATCACAGTGGCTGTTCACATACTCTGTGATGGTTTATCACACTGTTAATTCATTTAACTGACACCAAGAACCCTGTGGATAGGAGTAACTTTTGCCTCCATTTTAAAGCAATGTTATCAGATGGCCTTTATTATGTGAAAATGTATCCAAACATAGTGACTTAGAAGAGCAACCGTCACTTTCACCCCCATTCTGTGCTTTGGCGGAGCATTTGTTCTGGCCTGAGCCAGGTGGGCTGATCTCTACAGTCAACTGTACAGAAAGATGAAGCTCCAACCATCAGCTGCATAGTCAAGCATAGGTTCCTTTTCCTGTCTGGCAGTGGAGATGCTATTAGCTAGAAGAGTGGATGCAGCTAACCTGTGTGGAGTTTGGCTATTTTCCCTAAAGATTTATTTGGGGGGTAGAGAAGGAGAGGAGAAAATGAACACACCAACACACACCAGGGGGGGACAAAAAGGGAAACTAGATACACAAGCTTTGACAACATAAGATGCTGGGAACTGAGCTCATGTCCTTTTGAAGATTGACAGCTGAGTTATCTCTTCAACTAGGCTTTTGTTGTTCTAATCATCTTATATATTGGCCCTGTCTTCCTGACAGTCACAGTGTATTAAAAAAAAAAAGGAGCAAGATAGCTTAGCAAGGAAAGGCACCTGAGGCCAAGCTTGAAGATCTAAGCCTGATTCATGGGACCATAGTGCCCAAGTTCCTTATCCAAAGTAAAGACTCAGGAGGTCAAGACTGTCTCCAGTACCTCTCCTTATTTAATATTCTCAGTCTTTCCATTTACTTCAAAGTAGATTAGCACGATTAGTATTTCTAGTGGAATTCCATGTCGACAATTAGAATTGTTTTGAAAAAGGCATCTGGGCAGCAACACTTTTTTTTTTTTCATTATATGTCAACTTCAGAAGTTGGCCTAGATTACCACGGTGATATGGATCATGAGGTTTCCACATAGATTAGCAGGAAATAATGCCACTAATTGAAGCATGGATTCTGTGTTTGTCAACCTGCCACAGATTTAATCCTTTTCTCACTGGGGTGGGCTCAAAGGAATCAGTTGTTTACTGTAAAGAGGATGAAGACTGCCCATGCTGCAGCTTTGAACCGGTGTTAGAACATGGGACATTTGGTTTTCAATGCTAAGCAGACAGGGCATTAGATAAAGCAGAAGAGAAAGCGCTAACCTGGAGAAAAGGATGTCCAACACTAGCAAAAAGTAAACGCAGGAAGTCTTTAAAGCACTTGTAAAAGCACTAGTCGTAGAAGCTTAAGGACTGCAGCTCAGAACCCCCAGCACCCACATACATGCTGGCAGGTGTGGGGGCCTGATTGGGATCCCAGAACATAGGAGGTAGAGACAGGATATCCCAGGAGCAAACTGGTAGGCCAAGTAGCCACACTGGTGAGCTCTGGGTTCAGACTGCTGCAATAAATAAGGTGGAGGAAGACTCCCAGTGTCAAACAATGGCCTCTACACATGCGCATGTACACGCACCCATACATATGTGCTCTCACAGGTGCAGACAAACATACACATGGCCATATATACCACAAACACATAAAGATGCAATGTGTTTGTGGAGGTAGTTTCCATAAATATATAAATTACAAGTTTTCAAATACTTAAATGCTGACAGACCCTTTTCTTATTCTTGGTTCTACAATTTGACATAAGCACACACCTGAATTCATGGAACAAACCCCAATGATAGAGTCTCTTACACCCGATTTCTTTCTTTTTTAACGAAAACTTTTGGAGTAGAGAGCACTATCAAAACTGTCTTGGACTGGAGTGTCCCGCTTTTATTTCCTTGATATGGCCTATTGATAGCACCTCTATGTTAGCTTTAACTATTGAGCTAATGGGTTTGAATGTAGCTTTTCACTGCAATCATGTTCAAGGTGCTGAATTTATTAAATTGTAAAGTAGCTGAGAGAAATTTCCTGGCTACCCAGAAAGTGTCTAGTGAGTTCTTCTGCCTACTCATGACCCACTATACAAACAAGTTTTAGATCTGATTACTGAAAGAATAGGAACACAGGTGACCAAAGTCAGGAAAAGAAATTAACGTACATCAACAGCAGTTGGGAGAGGTTTCCTGCCAATAGCTCAAACCTACTTAAGTTCAGAGGGAGATCCCCGCCCCCCCTAATTTTTCAAAGGAAAAGTTAGAGATAACACACTTGGAATTTTTTTTTTTTTTTCTGATAAAGATCCAGGGAAGTCATACTTCACACACACTAGCTTCATAAATGACCAACAGGATAGAAAATGTGAAAACTTTTGCCAGGGTCCCAAAGTTTGCATTAGTCTGTTTACAGTAGAAAGCAATCTTCACAGATATCTGACATCCTTGCAACACCAGCTGTAAATGAATCAGTTGTGTTACTTCTTGAGAAGTCTGGAGATACTGAAAATACCAGTTTCATAGTTTGGGGAAGCACAAACTGACCCCATTCCCTTTGTCTGACATTAAGATACAATATACATCGTTGAGGTAGTCATTCTTAGCAGAGATCATAGCAGGGGACACCAAATGTTAGAGATGACAACTTAATAACAACAGCCTCTGTTTCTGTCTTAAAGGTGTGCTGGAATGGCCCTTTTGGACAAAACTGGTTGTGGTGGCCATTGGCTTCACAGGAGGTCTCGTCTTCATGTATGTACAGTGTAAGGTCTATGTTCAACTGTGGCGCAGGCTGAAGGCCTACAACCGTGTGATCTTTGTGCAGAATTGCCCAGACACTGCCAACAAACTGGAGAAGAGCTTCTCATGTAACGTGAACACGGAAATCAAGGATGCTGTGGTTGTGCCTGTACCACAGACAGGTTCAAATACACTGCCATCTGCAGAGGGTGCCCCACCCGAAGTTATACCAGTGTGATGGAACTGGAGGGGAACTTCCTCCCAGAAGGATCTTTACAGGCCCCAGCCACTACAACCAGAAGCGCTTCTGCTCTGGTGGCTTCCTCATCTTCTCCTTTTCCCTACTGACTTATCTGTCCTGACTCGGCGCAAAAAGGAAGTAAGGAGAAAAATATCAAGTGACCAGGATCCCAAGAAGCAGAGCCTGCAGTGGGACATGGAAAGGTGAAGTGTCTTAGGGAGTGAGTTTGTAAGGAACAACTGGTACAAGCAATGCTCCCAGACAACGATGAACACATGATACTCTTGGGTAGCACACAGGAATTCCCTGAACTGACTTCAAATTGATGTATGCTTCTTTGTAGGGGTCTGTAACATTAGCCTTCTCCACTGGAAATGACACACGTTTGGTCTTAAGCCTGAAACTGTGTGCATTGTCCCTAAGTCACACCAGAGGCAAAGTTGGAGGACTTGAAGTTTTTTACACTTTGACAGCTGATATTTTCTGGCTATTGTGAAGTCTGGTTATTTTGACAGATGCATGTTTTTAAATGGATGCAATACACATTTGAAGATAGAAATGTTTGGAATTTTGTTTAAATCATGAAGAAAAGATGTTCAGAGCATTGTGGAGTTTAGCTAGCACTTTTTTGAAAGTAACTATCATGCTGTATTTTTATCTGGTCTCTCTTACACAGTATTCTACAACAGACACATAACATGAGCTACAAATGCAACCAGCAGATGTAAATTTTAACTCTCCTAGTGTGCCCCATTAGGAAAAGTGAAAATAAACAAGTCAATTTTTTAATTTAGCTAACACTAAACATTCAAGTTATTTTATGTCATCAACAAAAACAATTATTAAAATAGCTTTCATCATTTTCTTGAACCAAGTTTTCAAAATGCATCACATATCTATGGCACACTTCAATGACTTTAGAGTGTTGGACAGGACTTAAATCAAGAACATTGGATACCAGAGCCCTTGCATTAGAAACTACACCTCTATTTCATTTAATTTGGATATTTCAAAACAGCAGTTTAATCCATTATTTTGTTTTGCAGGTTCACTTAAGGGTTATGATTTACAAAGCACCAAACTCATCAAATGAAGTCTTCAGGTTTGAATTCAGTGAATTTATCCCCTTCCAAAAGGGTAAAAAAAACCCAAAAGTTTAGAGTCAGTATAATCCATAGCATTGTTATGAACTTAACTTCTGTGTTGTACCTACAAGGAAATTATGATAGGAAAATAAAAATATATTTTGTTACTAAATCAGATGTATTAAGGTTCATAAATTCACATGGAGTGTCAATGTGACAGATAGGTATCTTAATTAAGGATCTCAACCCTGACTTTAAACTTGATAGTATTTCCCTAGCTCAGCTCAGAAGTAAAAATATTCAATAGATTCTATGGAGAGAGATAAGCTGGGTAGTCGGTTCAACAATTGATTACTGTGCTCTACACAAATTCAGATAAACTGCTATGACACTGCAGTGAGCTCGGTAAATAATCACAAGTAAGTAATCACAAAGAAAGATGACCACATTTTTAAAAAGTGATTTTGTTAGTTGTCATTATTTATTATCCCGAAAAGGCAGAGATGGCCATAAAAACCAAAGCATGGGCATCATGTTGCACATATCTGGATACCGCATCCATGCACTTTGTAATAATCAGTGTGTTTGTTCTTAATGGATTAGCAAAGGAAAAACACAAGGATCTTTCAATGAGAACAGAGTATGATATTTGTAGTGATCGACACTGGGTCCATAGTCCCATTCTTAGAAATAAAGGCATAGTAAACAATGTCAACTGTGTGTGTGACGTGTATATTCATGTATATATGCAAGAAAAATGTTAAGATATTCAGTGAGTCAGGAAACAAAAGGTTAAAAATTCATCACTCTTGAAACTTGTGGGAGGAGCATGGATTAAATATACAGGGACAAGGCAATGGACATAGCTAACCTAGACCAGACCTCCAGCAGAAATAAGGATTCACAAGACCTTAGAGAAAAAGACTAGAACCCTAAGCTTTGCATTAATTTCCTGCCAAGTTACCATTTTAAAGATTTGAGTGTGAACAACAAAATATGGATGGGCTGATCATGACTTCACACAAGTTAACAATCATTCAGTTTTCTGCATAGTTCCCTCACTCTAATTCATTATTTCCTGTGGCTTAGTCATGGCAATTTGCTGTCTAAAAATATTCCATGAGAAAGTACAATGTAGTATTGATTTTTGCCTTCTTTACTATAGGAAGAAATGGGTCATTTACCTTAATTACCACAGAAAATACTGTTTGAATGCAGGATGGGTATTTGAATAGCTTGTTTCACACAGGAAGGTGGGCTAACCCTTATTTTTCAAGGTATATACCAACACTAAAATAAACAATAAAAAGCAAAGATAAGCTTTGCTACATCAATGAAAAGACAGCATGGTGTTTTAAAATGATAAATAGGCTTAAAGTCTACCTTCATAAGCTTTGTCTTTAATAAATATGATAGAACTCTGAACAGTGTTTATTCTGCTATCTGTTGATGCTTTAAAATTTTCCACTAAAATATTTCCTAAGACTAATATTTATGATTTGAATAACCTGACTTAACTATTCAGATACGTAACAGCCAGTGTTGGAGTGGGGTGTGGTAGTTCTATCCCTGTAATCCCAGCAACTTTGAAAACTTAAGGCTTCATGATTATTTTCTACTACACAGTGAGGGCCAAATAAAGGCCAGCCTAGGCTACAGGAGACATTTTTCCAATAAAAAAAAAAAAACAAATAAACAAACAAAAAGGTTAAAATCTAAATGAACAGAGCCGGTATTGAAAGCATCTTTCACATTCTGTGTGGTAATGGTGTTTTCCTTTAATAACAGGGAAAAGGCTTGGCTTTGATAGCCTGTCTTACTGCTCAAGGAGAAAAACTGCTTGACAGAAAGAAAATGAGTGTTTACCTGCTTTCATGTAAAAAGTAAAACAGAAGCTAAATACTGAATCCTGAGCTTACAGATTTGTTAAAACTGAATTTTTATAAACACAACATGAAGCTGGGGTTTCAGAAATGCCATAAACCAGACATTGAAAATGCTTTTTATCAAGAGCTGACATTTTCACAAATAATATTCAATTGGAAAGGAATGAAATTAACACATTTGAAAGTGAAGACCAGAGATGGGAGACATGACTCAGTGATCACTCTCTGCTCTCAGAGGCTCCTACCTGAGCTCCCAGCACCCACATGACAGCTCACAACCATCTGTATCTCCAGCTCCAGGATACCCAACACACTCTTCTGGTCTCTGAGGACACACACAAAGAAATCTTTAAAAAGTGAAGTATCCCAAAGTACAGAAACATAGGTATAAAACAATAACAAAACCCTACAAAAATAGAGGAAAAAAATTATAATTTCAGGGTACCGATAACCCAGGATACTGCAATGCAGACATTGAGTCGTTCTCAGAATGTCCCGGGACCAAAACCTCACTCAGAGGTGCTGCTATGCCGCAAATGATATCCCACAATGAACCCTCAAGCTTGTAGTTTTTCTTTTGTGAAAAGGATATGGGTACCCTTCAGACATTTATTCTTTGGCTGAAAAATGAGGTCATCAAACTACTGATATCTTTAAGAGAAATCATAATGATCAGTGGGGTGAAGTGGGACGGTCATGCATTCCATTTATCATATACAAATTACCATGCCTTGCCAATGGATATTTTGGAGTAAATATTAAGTGGAGAACCTAAAACTTATTATCGTATTGTAACTATTATAAAATCATGTCCTTATATCAGCTCAATGGTGCTATTTTACATAACAATACAACTGAAAGGAAGTGCTGTTACATTTGGGCTGCAGTGTTTTGCCCACATTTGCAGAAAGTCCAAGTTGAAATTAGATAACATTTAAACAAAGGAAAAAAAATATTGTTTTAACTGTATTTTTTGAGATTGGGCATTTGTACTTTTTTAGTTTTACCTAATGTCTTCACTAACAATTTACCGTTTGTGAATAATGTGTGCTTAAGGCTAACTAAGGAAAAAAAAAGCCTTTGTATATTAAACAAGTGCTCCAAATCTTGGTTGTAATTCTCTACTTTCTGCCTAATGAACTGGGACTTGAATTCTTAATTTAAGATTTGATAATGGCCTAAGTTTTTTTAAACTAGGATCTGAACATACTTATATCAAATCTATAGTGACCAACGTTGTGTTGTTACTGGAAAATTGGGGGCGGGGGTGCTATCCAGGATGTCATGTTATTGGAGGAACCAGGGACCCCTTTCGGTGTTCTTAGTCTTCCCAATAAAGTAATTTGAGAATAGACTCAGAAGGAAGCTGCAAGACAAGTTATTAGACTTTAATCAGCGTGAGAGCTGGAAACCGCAGCAGCTGCCAAAACGGAGGGTGCAGGAGTTGGAGAGCTGTGCAATCTGAATAAATACAATGTGTTAAGCAGTGGGTGCCAACCACATTCTGAACAAGCAGCTGCAGAGACATGTAGGAGGGCTGCAGAGTAAAGGTGAGGGAGCCCAAAGGGTGACGGAAAGAACACCCATGTTCAGAACCACACTGAGGGTTCTGAAAAGACAGAACAAAAGGAAAAAGAAAAATTACACCTTTTCTTGAGAGGTGGGCCAACTTAGCAGAGCTTCACAGCAACTCAATTTTGACTGTACCTGAGCCCAGGTTCCTGGGAAAGAAAAATACATTATCTCATTAAAGGGATAATTATTATTCCTGTCTCTTTAGTAGTCCCTTAGCCAGGTGATAGACCAGCCCAACTGGATTAACCCTTATGTCTTCTGTAGTTTGGCTAGGAGTAGATACCATTCTTTTAACCAAGAAGAAACAGATTTCCCTTAATGGGCCTCAAAATAGGTAATAATAAATATACAATAGCTAAGGAAAGAACACATAAACTTCCAAAATCCATTTTTAAGATATTTAAGGAGTATTACACTATAACCAGTGGCTGCACCTTCACAGCCAGCTGCTCTAAGATTTCATGCTGCACTGCTGTCAGGCTGGATGGGGCACAGCTCCTTACCATGCCCTTACTGCCTGGAGCCTAGGGAATTGTTTAGAGAGACTTCCACACTGGTAAAACTCAAGTTTGTAGCTCTGTCAAAGAAAAGAACTTTAGGACAAGCCAACATGAAGCACAGCTGAACTCATCAAAAAGAAAAAAAATTAAAAGCTCCTTAAGCATAGAAGAGAGCACATCCATCCAAGAGGGGTCTGCTCTCCTAGGGCCACCTCAAGTGTTTACCATGGGTACGACTGTGTGCACACACATATAGCCCTGGGCTTCCCAAGTTACGCTACAAAGTGACTTACTACAATCTTAAAGAACAGACTTACAGAAAAGAGTTCTGTCTCGTGAAATTACATGAAAGATTTAAGGCAGGGTTAGGGTCTCAGAGAAAATACCGTGTACGGTCTGCTCGCCTGTGAAATGAAAATGATACTACATCCATTACAGCAAAAGAATACAGCACAACTTTTTAATACACAGACCCAATAGTTGAATATTCAACAAACTAGTATTTATGCAGTTAGAAAACTTGAAAAAGTAATAGAATAATTATCTTAAAGTTAGGAAAAGAACTTAATGGGGAAACAACAAGATCACTGTGCAGCATTGATAGTCTACATGACTTCTGAATGTACATGTGGCAACAGCCTTTTGAGCAGTATTTTATGATTTGTTGCCTGCGAATAGGCATGCTGCCTCAACTGATATCTGAAAGATGTATTAGTTACTTTTGTGCTGCTGTGATCCAAATTCCTAAAGGGGGAGGAGGAGATTAAGGGAAAAGTATACTCTGGCTCAGTTTCAGAAGGAATTCAGTTGGCCACAGTTCCTGCAGCAACTTCTTGCATGCTGGCAGACTTGACTGGACCCAGGGGTAGGTATGATGACCTTCAAACACCTGACCCTACTCACAGGCAGGCCCCACCTCAGAAATACTCTACAACCTTCAAAACAGCACCAGAAGGTAAAGGCTGAGTGTTCAAAGCATGAGTTTCTGGGGCACATTTAAAATTCACGCCTAATATTCTGCCTCTGGACACCCCAAACTGCATTTAGTTGAACACCATGTTCTTTTAAACACCATGCTCCTTGAACAGTCCCAATACTGTCCAAAAGCCCACATTTTCTTCTGAGGATCAAGCCAAATTTAGGTGAATCTCTGTAAAATCAAAATCAAAGTTAATTCCAATACACAATGGCACATACTAAAAATGCCACCCAAGACCGAAGCCCAAGATTTGTTAGCACTGTCCACTTCAGAGTACCACTTTCAGCACAATAGGACTCTTGAACCAGGACCAATCACCTTGTACCTGTTTACTGTCTCCACCCAGACCCCACACCCCAGCACTGGTATTATAGGCACATGCCACCAGCCCCTTATTTACTATGGGTGCTGGGGTAAGAGACTCAGGCCCTCCATAGCACTTCATTGACCAAGCTGTCTTTCTAAGCCCCATTTTTCCCCCCACTTCTCCCTTTTACAAAATTCAGGCTAAATGGCCTTTGAAGACAATGCTGTTTCAGATATAGTTTAACAGTGCCTCCGTCCTGGGGTTTAAGTGTTAGAAAATTGGCTCCATACAGGGATGTCCAAAGATAACAGGACTTTAGGAATAAGGTCCTTCCCAGTTGCTTAGCCTGCTGCATCCCCCTCCATCTCATGTTTCCTTCACTATGATACTGTTGGCATGATGTGATGGAGACAGAGAAGCCTCCCCACGACCACACTCGGTTACGATTTAGACTCTCAGCTAAACAACCAGTCTCGGGTATTCAGCCACAATGAAAAGCAGATTAATATAATCTCTGTATTTTAAAAGCAATTTATAGGAAATTCTTAAATAAAAATTATAAACATGTTTTAAAACTGCAAATAACTTATTTGAGAATGAGCTAAATAGCAAATTCTTACATGAAATTACTAAAAATTTTATTTGTGTGTACATATGCAGACAGGCCACAGTGTGCGAGAGGATGTCAGAAGAAATCGGGTAGTATCTGTTCTCTTGACCAATGAATTCTGGGAATCAAACTTTGGCAGGTGGGCGTGGCTGCAGCCCCTCACTGGCTGAACCATCTCACCAGCCCACACACAGATGATTACTTAGCATACTCAGTGAGTAGGATGTTTTAAAGTCAAGTGATTTCAGTAAGGTCAGACAGGCACTGGAGTCATTTCTTCATCCGTGTCACTTGCTTCACTGGCTGGTTCCAGTTTCCCATCTGTTGAGTCCACAGTTTCCCCTGTTAGTTCTAATTCTCCTAAGTCCTTTTCTATATTTAAACTATTCTTCTGTTTGCGCTTCTTAGGGATTGCATCATGAGCACAAACTTTCCTCATTCTGATGTTTGGCAATTTCTTCAGATCAAAATCCCATTCCCTAGAAAAAAAATGAGTGTAGTGCTGAGAGTGGTAACGGCAGAGCAAAGACAGCCACTTTCAGACCTCTGCCCACAGTAGAGGGAAGACTTTAAATTCATGAACGATTTCACATACATGAGAATAAAAGCATCAGCATAAAGGGGGCTAGGATGCAACAGCCCAGGCCGGAAGTCCTGCTGTTTACTGCTATAGCAGCATTTATCACCTGCACAGACTCCTACACAACCTAAACTTCAAACTGCACAAGAAATCTTAGTTACTTCTTCTCCCTACCCTATATAACCTCCTTTATCAGGCTACATGGTCTCAAAACCCTCAAATGTTAGAATTATGGCACGATTAGCAAACCTCTAAATCAGCAAAGAAAATTCTCACACACAGGCACGCTGCAGCTTAATATGTAAGAAAAAAAAATCATATTTTGTCCTCTCCATTTGTATAAAAATTCTACCATCAATTGTCTCATAAGAGACCATTTCAAGAGTGGCTACCCAACAAAGCTAACATGCTGCGCTCATCTCTCACACTTTGGAAGAAGCAGAACACACACTGCTTCAGAAACAAGGAACACATTTGTTTTACATTATGCTTGGATTTGAATTTATCCAATTTCACTGCAGAAAAAATTCAGACTCCCTGATATGTTTTAGTGAAGACCAAAATTATTAATAGAAGGCACTTTTTAATACACAGAATCTGAGCTTAAAAACTAAGAAATCTGAGTTTCTACAGCTCAGTAGTCTCCATGGCTACTAGGCAGAGTCATAGATCAAACGTTCTCAAGGATAAAACTCTTGCCCTGGCATCAGTTTCTATTCATCTGTTCCTGTAATTTTATCATTAAGAAATTAGCATCAGGAGAGAAAGAAGCGTTGCTACCAGAGTATACAGGATTTTAAAGTGTTCTGGAAAGCAAAGGAACGTCAGCTGCAGCATCCCAGTAAACACTGGGCGCTGCAGACAGATACAAGCAAACTGACAGGAGAGGAACGCCAACAGAACTCTCTCTGTTCTTTTATTAACATCTACATTCAGGGAAGTTCATGCTTCTGCATTTCACATACAACTTCCAAGGAATTCAGATACTCACCGGAAAGCCTGTAGACTATTAGCATCTAAAATGTCTGGGATCTCTAAGAAAGGAAAGAATTAATATACATTAGGCATTTTCTTTCTACATTTAGTTGTTATAGTTTTACTCTTATCTCTCAACATGGCAACTGGTGTTAATAAAAAGGAAAAAAAATTAAACTTACGCGTAAATGTGCTCGTGTCTATGTATATCATATATGTGTAAGTGCCTGCAGGGTCCAGAAGGTGTGGTTTCCCTAAAGCTGGAATTACAGGCATTTATGAGCCACCAGAGATGGCAGTAAGTACTGCTGAACGACCTCTCTGGTCCCAAAGAATAACACTCTCAAAGCACAACAGTCAACATAAAAACCACTTGTGGGAAGAACAGAGTTCAGTGTACAGGGATGACATAAGAATTCTGTTACACAGAATGTATTTGCAGACCTGTGAAATAAGCTGGCATATTCCAACCACCAAGTGTGGGAGTGTTTTACTTTGCAGTGCTATGAAAGACAGGCTATTAAGTACTTACCTTATATCACATTGGTAGAATTTACCAGATTTCAAAGATTATTGAACATTAAAAAAAAAAAAATCACATTACTCAAAATATGAAAAATTTTAAGAGGTATAATCCTTAGGACCTCAAAAAACTCAATACAATTTAAATTACCCTGTAACTTGCATGCGCTCTCACAGTTAGGAGATGACTGGCTTTGAGTCTCAAACATGGACTTTAAGAAGTACTGCAATTTAAAAAGCCGGGACTTTTAAAATTGGATTGAATGTACTTTTACATTATGAGATGGCCATGAGATTAGAGAATGAAAAGAGAGAGAACTTAGCACCAGCATCCATTGTGGATACAATGTGACACAGCTCCTACTACTATGACTTCAACACTACAACAGGCTTAAACTTTGAGGCAAAATGAACCCCTTCCTTCCCTGTGTTGCTTTTGCCTGGGTATTTTATCATGGTGATAGGAAAAGTTCAAGTACAGTATCAGAGAGCAACATGTGAACACCACAGGAGTGGCAGGGGCTCTACACTTGTAGCGGGTGCAGTGTCAAGTGTTTCTGAGTTGATCTGAGACTTTCTGAACCAGAGAAACATATCCTCTATTTTATTTATATTTTTTTTGAGAAAGGAGCTCTCTATGTAACCAATATAACCAGGCTATACTGGAACTATGTAGAGTAGGCTGGCCAAGAACTCAAAGAAGGGCTGGGATTAAGGGTGTGTGCCACCATGCTTGGCTTCTATTTTATTTTCAAGTTGAGGAGTCCTCTCTACTTTCCAGTAGGGTAGAGTCCAGGGATCAAGTGTGGCTGTGTCTATTTCCAAAGATATACTTTCCTTTATTTAGATTAAGAAACACACTTTAGCAGTGAAAAGGAAGTAGACATATTTCAGAGCTTCTAGTATTATCCAGAGTAGTTCTTTTGGGATCGTGTATGTTCATGTTCTTTTCATTAGAGCTTAAATTTTTAATTTTGCTATTACATATTTTAACTACTGTTTTGATGAATAAAGTACATATTAACACCAAGGCCTACAGGGATAAGGGAAGAAAAATGAATGAAGACAGTGACAGGATAAACTTCAAACCTTCGCTAGTTCTGTAAGGGACAGCTGCTACTTCACTACTGCACACTCTGTTGCCGGGGCATCTGGTTTCCTAAGCCACAACATTGAATTTTTCACTTGAAATTATTATTTTTAAAAAATAGTAACAGTAAGATAATCAAGTATTATCTGCAGGAGGTATAACCTTTGAATGGCTATAAATGTGAGGTTCTTCAACTCAGTACCCCATCCTGCTCGGTGATCTTCTATGTTTCCAATTTACTGTGCTGTCCACACCCCAAGGAATTAGTTATGCGAGCCCAAATGCCAAGAAAAAAAAAATGCCTTAGTTTGGCCTGGAGAACATGAGGGACAATAGTGGATAGGAGGGACATCTGTGTACAGGAAAGTCGGATGTGTCTGTGGATGGCAAGTAACAGCATCATAAGGAAGGCAGGCTGCGCGTGTGCTAGGAAGAATTGACTCTGTCACAGTAGATGGCTGTCAACTGTCACAAGGAAATAGAACTATAAGTATTCTATACATGAAAGAAAAAAAAAGCCAAAAGAAGATCAGGATAAATCAACAGGGTAAGGCGAAACCTTTGAAATTCAGTGTAAATCAGATGCTCTGTTAAAAAGCAAACTGAATCCAAGAGTACATACCAAAGCCATAGCCTTCGTACTGCTGCCGTTCCCGCTCCACTGTCTGCTTGATGGTAGCCTCCCGGGAATGGTGCCTCCTTCCTTGCCTGTCCTTGATGCTGTTTTGTAACTCAATCTGCTCCAGCTCACTGCTGAACCGATTCAAATAACTGAAAATATAGAAATGAACTGAGTTACAGTGTCTATTTGGCCTTATGCTAATCCATTTAAAATGTAGTACCCATGTATCCATATCCTTTGAATTCTGACATCCTCAAATTCCTCAGTCTTAATCATGTTCCTGAATAATCTGTTTAACTTCAGGGAACAAAATCACAGCATGCTGTTGGCAAAACTGAGGACCCTCACATCGAACCACCTACCAGCTCTCGTCTTTAGCCCAAAGTATCTCATCCTTAACAAACATTCACACTAGACTTTTCCTCCAGCTCCACCATGGCTACTCCACCCCTTGAGCTCCCTCTCAGAACATAGTGAAGTTTAGAGGCTACTTTCTCCCTATGTACACCTAAGTTCTTCCTCCTAGTATTCTAGCTCTTCATCAAGTTCCTACCTGTAATGGAAGTCTTGGTTTCTTTGTAAACTCAGTTATACTACGTAAACATGTTTCTGTTTTAATCCCAAGTGTGGTATTTTAGTTTGGGCTTCAGTTTTTCCACAGCTAATAACTCTCTCAAGAGGGACGTAGCCTTTGCCAGCTGGTCACAGCCTGCCTCGTGAAGCACAGAGAGGGGCATGGTCTGGGACTGTGAGGGAGCTAAATATGGAAGCCTGGAGAAAACTGTGGTGTGTGGTGCTGGCATGCGGTATGTAGCAGTCTGGCATGGTCGGGGATGGACGGTGTGGCAGATGGAGAGAAACATTTCAATGCAGCAGTTTGGTGGAGACTGCCTGATGCGTTGCTTTTGACAGGGGTTGGTATAGCCCCCAAAGAACCCACTGACCCTAAACAGCAAGAAACAATGGAGTCTGAGACCCTTCTCCCCACTAACCTTCTCTCCTGCCTGCCTGGGGTTGTGGACTGGGAGGGGCTTTAAGGAAACCCAAATAAAAGAGTTTAAAAATGGGTGCTACATCTACTAACCAAGCAGAAGACAACAGCACCGTTCCTGGACTGTGCTCCAGCAATGTCATGTCCCCTTCTCTGGCTGTGGCAGAGAAGTACATGTACATGTACATGCATGATGAGCACACGTGCTTCCTGGAAGTCCTCCAGAGTTCCCTTCGTCCTCAGATTCCATCCATACGTAGATGGCCACCTAATGCTGTTGATCTGTTACAGGAGCCTCTGAGCTTGCTATTACTCACATGAAACGTGCAGTGGGGTTTTTCACTGGTCAGCTTCTCTCTCACCCCTGGCCCTGAAGACACTGTCCTCTCAGTCTGAAGGCTCTTTCAAGCTACCTTACCTCAATCTGTTAACACCCAGAGGGGCCAGGGCAGACACCCACTTTAGGAAGCCTTCCCTAATCCCAGGAAACTAACTAAAAATGGGCCTGAGCTGGGATATAAATTTAAATATACCTGGGTTTTTTGGTTTTGTTTAAAAAATAAAAATAAAAATAAAAGAAAGAAAAGCCTATCTGCTTGTCTCCAAATCCAGAGCACAGCTCTCTCTCTTTAGAACCAGGCTGAAATTCTCTTTTCTGATACTTGGCTCATGATACACCCCATATTTACCTTTCAATTAATTCGCAGGCATCTTTCTTTGAATACCTCATTTTTTTGTTATCTAGATGACTGTGAAACCACTGAAGCTTGTCACCTATGAACAAGTACCAAAGAAGTTTAGTGGCACAAGCTCCACACAAACAGACTTTCACCATAACTCCATATCAAAGCATTAAAGACAAAAGCACAATTATTTTCAGTTTTAAATAGAAAAACCTGTGTAGCTGCATCAAAACCAGTTTGTCAGAAATGAAATTCAACATTTCATTTAAAGGCAGAGACAAGGATCAGAGTGGTGCCTGCCTACATTTCTTTTCTTTTAAACAGCTTGTTTATATTTTAATTATGTGCAGGTATGTGTGAGTATGTGTTTGTGCACATGAGTGCAGTGTCCACAGATGCCAGAAGAGAATGCTAGGTCTCAAAGAGCTGGATTTACAGGTGGTTTGTGAGCCACACCATACGGATTCTGGAAATTGAATTCTGCCAGAGCAGAATGCCTGCTTCCTAGCCACTGAGCATCTCTGCAGCCCCATACATTTCTTCCCTAACAACAGGGAAGAGAGAAAGATGGATTAATAGACAATGAAATGCTAAGTTCTTATAAAGCAATATTTTAAAACAATATTTTAAAATTTGATCAAAGATAGAAATAATTATTAAATACAAACATACTGCCTGGCACCATGTCTAAAACTTTCAAATTATTCTCTGCAGATCAGCATGATTTCACATTTACACATGAAATTAAGTAGGTGATACACAGCATTACCAAACATGTTAGGCCTAAGAGAGGCACCAGGTGCTATGAAAAGAGAAATCGAGGACATGTCAGTAAAAACTTATTAGCAATAAAAGTGGCCCACAGAAAGACAGGCAGAGAGGGGGAAAAGGAAAAGGGATGTGGGGGAAAGAAGAAAAAGGGTAAAAGGGGAGACTGTACTACTGATAAAGACCAAATGTGTGCACCCGCATTATTAACCAAGAACCCCCTGCTCCACATTACTGAAACCACTGCTGTAGCTTGGTTCTAGACCGTTCCTAAAGGCCCATGTCTTAAATGTTTGTTCTCTAGTACCTGATGCTACTGCGGGATAAGGCAGCTTCTGAGAAGTGAGGTCTAGTGGACACTCTCACATCACTGAAAAAAGTGCCCTTGAAGGGAATGTTGGCTCTAGACACCCCACTCCCCCTGCCTGCCTGTCGTTGTTTCTGGCAAGTTTGAGGTCAGCAGCTTGCTCTACCACACATCCTCTGCCACTGCTTTCTGCACTGCTACTAGTCCCAAAGCAACATGATCAGCTTCATGGACTGAAACCACACAGCTATATGCCAAAGCAAAGCTCTTCCTCTTTATAAACAGTCTCAGGCATGTGCTGCAGAAAGTTAACACAGCCATACCATTCACTGTCTTAGTTGTCAGAAGAGAGGACGAACCCTGAGCAGGCAAGCAGATGTGGAGCTGCATAGCAACAAGATGTCTGCAAAGCTGAGCTGTAGGGAGTACTAGCACTTTATTCTGAAATGCTTTGCTGAATTTCATTTGTTTTCTTTTAGCTGTCTGGTTTAAAAAAAAAAAAGTCTGATAAAAATAATAAAGAGTGAAATTGCTTTAGAGCAAAAATTCACTATACTGTAGCCAGAATTTCAAGTACTCAGAAGCACTTACCAATAAGGTTGAGACGCAAGGCCCTCTCAGTCTTCAATCTTGAACCAAAAGGTACACATAAATTAGAAATTTTCCAAAGTAGGGGCTTAGAAATCTGTCAATAATTTTGCAAAGAAAAACTTCCCAGAGAACTTTGACATTTTTTCACATGTAAAAATAAATATATCTTAACAACAAAGATATACAGAATGCCACAATTACCTTTTAAATCACTGGGAGAAGATGTTACTAGAGTGTTGTTTCAGCATACTAGTGACTAGGGAAAGCCTAGAGAACCAGTCCTGTTTATGCAAACAAATGTCTAACTAGGCTATGACTGCAGTGGCAATATGTGGAAAACACCTGAAATGCAAATCTCAGCCCACCTTCTGAGTGCAAGGTCTAATAAGCTCAATGGTGCATCTCAGGTCAAATGAAGTTTGTGAAATATACATATGGGCAATGGTAAAAATCATACTGTTCAGGTGCAGTAAATTATGTTAAAAAGAATAGCAAAAATGCTAAGTGATAAATGAACAGCTGAAACTCGAAAACTATTTTAAGACAGTACTACCTCCATAAACTTTTATTAAAAAAGATACATCCCCCACAAAAAAGAAAATTCTACAGTCTCTCCTATAAAACATCTAACCAAATCACTGCAAAACAGCCAAGCTTTATTAAGTGAGGCTCTAGATTTTAGGCAACGTATCAAAATATAGTAAAAGTGAACAAGTTTCCACCAGACGCTACATGGACACCTGTTACGCTCACTAGAATAGCAAAGCTAGTTCAAAATAACAGAAATAACTTCTATTTGGTCTTCACTTTATAGAATCTTTGTAATATATTCTCCCTCAGCTTTAGGCCCTCTCCTCCAGTCTTAGAGGAAACTTGCACACAGATTAGAAAATTTCTAAAACAAGGGTTTAGCAATCAGTTAAAAACACTAAAAGTACCTTGATGTTCTTTGGTATGTGTTTCCCTCTGGTATTTGTGACAGAATTTTCTCCAAACACTGCCCAACTCTGAGAAAACTACTAGACTGACCCAAGCCTTGGCTGCCCTTTCCTTCCCATCACAGTATTCATTCGATGATCTAGTCTCCTGGTCCCAAGCCACAAATACTAATGGCTCCCTGACCTGTGACATCTGTCTCTAGCACTAGACCCAACCACACATTCCACGTTTCCTTTGTTATGCTGAACACAGAGCACAACAGAAATGCCTTCATCAATAGTTTCCTCCCTACTATCTCTAACACTGCTCAAACTAACTTCTTGAGGAGTCTTCCATGACTCCTATAAAAGAGAACATCTCCCCTCTTTATCCTCTTTATCTTTAGCTTGTGTTAGCTTTTCTGCATTACACTCACCACAGAACTGCTACTTATGTTTTAGGTCAGAGGTCTTTTTTACCTGAGTGCAAGAACTAATGGAAACATACTGAATAAAGGAAAATAGGGTTTGGAGACTGAAGAACACACATCTGATAGGTAGCTGCATGAAGGAGCTTTCCCCAGGGCACAACACGAACAGGACACAACACTTACCTTTCCTTCTTGTCTTGTCTGTGAGACTCTCTTGTAATCTGAGCTGCTTTTCTACTGTATGGATGGATGACTTTCTTTTCCCGTCCTACAATTTTTCCTTTCAGTCCTTTAGGCTAAAAGATAGAACACACATAGTCAGACACCTTAAGTGACTCTAATCACAAAATTCTTTTCAGAAAACACAACAAGATAGAGATGTCACATTAGGAATCAGGAGATAGGCCAAACATTTTATTAATTCCAGCAGCCTTTGTTTCCCCATGGCCAGAACAGAAATGACAATTCAGAATCTCCAGTGGCATTAGACCAACAGAATGGCACACAGGGAGCCAAGGCAACTCAGTGATGAGCAGTGCCAGCTTGAAGTGGCTCTGAGACTAGAGGTGAAGGCTCGTAGCTGCAAATGTTGGCTACAGCTAAGGGCATTTCTAAAATTAAGGAACACAGCATCTTAGGAGGTATGAAGAGAATGAAAAATCAAAGTTAACCAGACTTGGCTGGTCCAAACCAAAAACCTAGGAACAAAAGAAGCCACTTCAAAATCAGCGCACCTAAAACAGAACAAACTATTTCCTCACTCAAGCCTCATCAGTTAAGTTTGTCAGATTTCAGTCCTCAAAGGCATTCAAGCTTTTGTTTTATTTACTTTTTAAATATGCAATCTTATATTTTGGCCCACCTATATTATTTAAGAGTCAGGTTTGACTTTCTACAACAGAAACCCAAAATTAAATTAGCTTAACCTAAATAGGTCTCTTCTGGCTGACTTGAGTCAGGCTTCCCCCACCCTGTTAGCCTATAACCTCCTGGAGAGTCTGCAAGGGCTTAAAACCTGCTCTCCTCTCCAGTCATAAGTGAAAAAGAAAAACTCAGGAAAGTTGCCCTCATAGCCTTTGCCTATGACTAAAACTTAAAAGGAATGAATACATCTAATTTTTAATCTGAGGAAAATAACACTGCTACAGACTCAAAAGACTATTAGGGAGTGGGACTAGCCATGTCAATATTCACCCCTCTAAGACCAAATAGCTCTTGAAGCTTTTCAAAACTGTCAGTACTATCATCCAACCCTCCTGATCAGAGGCTGCTTTGTGGGTATACTCTGTTAGACTCTTTCACAAAGAAGTCACAAAGCCTCTCTAGATTACAGTATTCATCAGCATATAGTTTCTTTCTCTATTTAAAGAGATCAGCTTGGTCCTAATCATTAGCTAGGAAAATATCCTCTCCCCAATTTTCTTTTCCAGCATTATTTCCCTTCCTTCACAAAGCTCATTCTCCCTGTTCTTACTGAAGTTCATGTCAACCCAGAATGCACCACATAGTAAGTTGAGAGTACACTTGTTATTATCTTGGTCTGAAATCCCTTCCTTCCCTTCTACTTTGATAAGACAAAGCTCAAAACAATCTTCAAAACAACTCTCCAGCAATTAAAATGTCCATCAATTTCTCATTTACATATTCATTCTTCTAATAGTTCTCTGATGCTTTGCTCACTTTCCCATAAACCTAAGAGAAGCCACGTCCAAATCTGAAACCCATCTAAGCTATGTATAAAAAATAACTTTAAACTTGTAAGTATAAAGCACACTCATTTCTCTGTACCTTTGGAGGGTGTAGGGGCTCATGAGAAACGCGATTAAGAATTTTTCAATCAAACATAAACCAAAAAAAAATAAAAAATAAAAAAATAATAACCTGTGAAAGAGGTGGCAGTTTGCCTCTAAGTAATGTGTCCATGCAATACTGTCCCTCTGAAAGTACGTTTCTAGTGACTGGCTTTAATTTAGAAGTAGGTTGTGCATGAATGTGTGCATATGTGTGAAGTGTGTGTGTGTGTGGTGTGTGCAGAGACCAGAGGAGAGCAGCAGGTGTCCCCTCTACCACGCTCCTTCTTATTTCCTTGAGGCATATTCTCTCCCTGGACAGAAGCTTATGCTTTGGAGGCTAGGCTGGCAGCTAGGGAGTCCCAATGATGCTCCTGTCTCTGACTTAAGTAGTTGGGCTACAGGTGTGCAGCAGACCCCGGTTCTCAAAGTCGTACAGCAAACACTCTTAACCACTGAGCCATATCTCCAGCCCCACGATGACACACTTTGAATGATAAGGACTTGGTATATGTCACTCCAGGATCAGGTTATGAAAGGACTCTCACTTCCATCTGTTACTTCCCTACTTGCACTGGCATAGTTACACAGATTTCATTTAAAGACTTAAAAGTTCCATTATAAAAATAGTATAAAATTCTGTGAGTGTAAAAGGGGTTTTACAACTTTTAAAGATTTAAGTTAAAGAACCAGAACTACCAATATTTAATGTAAAGGAAATAAAAATCTCCTGAACTTACATTCTGACTCAACTGTAGCTTAAGACCCTTTATAACTATTTATGAAAAGACAGTCCACAGCAAGGAACATATATTTAGGCACAAAAATAGGCATAAGAATCACTACATCTCTAAACAGTTTTGTATTTTAGTACAAATTGAAACAGCCACCAACAAGGATAAACAACGCAAACTCTCGATAAAAAGTTATTTGGGCGTTGGCTCAGTGGATAAGGAAACTTGCTTCACAAGCCTGGTGACCTGCCTTCTATCTCAGAGCCCAAGAGGCTGTCCTCCACATGCATGTTATGGCACCCCAGCACCCAATAATACATTAATTTTAATTTCAAATATCAATTTACTGAGAGTTAACAGTTACTGAGTGTGTGTGACTTTTTCTTTATTCACTTAGTTGTGTATATGCTGTCCATGCTGATTACCAGTTAAATTCACTGGCTCACCAAACCAGACTTAACATTTCTTTGTTTCCTCAGGAAAAATTCATAAAACTGTCAGACAGCAGCTGAGGATACTTAGTGTTCAAAACTCTGTGAAGCATTCTATCGTTCTAATTAAGTTGCTAGGAGTTAATTAATTTCCCAAAGATGACAGATGTTACTCTCAGGCCTCTGGAACCATGTGCTAAGTTTTAAAGAAAGGTGGAGGACCATTGTTGATGATGTATGAGGGGGAAAAAAAATGAAGCCAAAAATGTGGCAATTAGGGCATAATTATATAATGCTACAACTCTGGTTTCTATGCAAAAAAAAAAAAAACAAAACAAAACAAAACATTTGTAATAGTAATACAAAAGTTTGGCAAACATGAAGCTCCTATTGCCAAGAACAAGTGCAGTCAAATTCCCATACCACTACACGCAACTGCTTTAGTATCTGAAATACTTTTAAGATTATAGTTGGAAATCGTCCAAGCATAGGGATAAACAGACTGAAGGAAGGCGAGGAAGATATGAAAAGACAAAGGAGGAAAAACAATGAGGGGACAGAGAGATGGCTCAGCCAGTAAAGGCGCTTGCTGCCAAACCTGAGGACTTGAGTTAGGTCCCA